AGTGATACTTGAGGCATGAAAAATTGAAGCCTTTTAGGCCTCTCCAACTGCACGGGTTTCTAATAGGTGCTGACAATAGAATGCGTTTTATTCTGTGTAATAAAATAGGGAATACCGGTTGTATTGAAATCTTGATATTACCTCGGAGTAAAATGCTGAGCACTGCCTCGTTTCACTAGTCATCTGGGCTATGGAGAGTGGATTTGGGTTCCTATTGGGACGCTCATCAGGGGCAGCTTCCAGAATATTCTTGAGCCATTAACTTCAGCACACACAAGCCTGGTTGTGGTCATGTCAGCAATGAAGGCGAGCAGGCTCCATTAGAGGCTCAGGGGGATGTTTGTTTGTCAGAGTAACTGTTTCTGGCAAGGGAATCCGGTGAAACTGGGGATGGTAGAGCCCTTCTTTGTTGTTCAAGCCCCATACAGGGGTTACTTTTAGGCAATGGTGAAGACAGGCTGTGTCCTCTACACCCCTGAGTTCTATCATCCACTGCAGACTGCAATGTACAGGCGCTGCTTCTTTACTATTCGCTGACTTGAAGAGAATCTCAGGCAGCGTTCATGTGCCTGGCCCCAGACTGGAAGACAAAGTACTACCAGGCGGAGCTACTCCACAAGGCTCACTCTGCCTGCTGCTTGCTGAGCAAACTTGGATGGTTTCCACTCTGAACCTCAGTTTTCTCTTCCAGAAAATGAAGGCTTGAAGTATGTGGTCTCTAAAATCTTTTCTCTTTCTGAATTTTTTCTGTCTCTTGGCTCTAAGAAAATACTGATTTTGAGCTCGAGGATGTGGCTCTTCTCGCGGCTCATGATTTCAGGAGTAGGGGAAAGCAGGCGTCTAGCAGGGGTAGATGGGGTAGCACCAACAGTGAGAGAATGTCACAGTCCAGCTGGTCTTTTTCTTTCATTCTTTCTTTGTTTTCAAACTTATATAAGTGCCCTGCCACTGGGTTTCTTAATGTTGTTCTTTATTAAACAAAGGTATTCACAACACAGCCCCAAAACACATCAGTTTGGTACATAACTAGCCAGAGAGTACACCACACACAATTTTTTTCCTAAGACGTGTCATAAATATTTTCCAAAATTGTGAATTTTTCGGAGTCACTCTGGCAGTGTATGTTTTCAGGTTTCAGGCCAAGTCAGGAGAAAAAAAGTAAAAATAAAATAAAAGAAGATGGAAAAAGAGAAATACCACACAAACAGCTTTTGTGAAACTTCTGAAGGAAGAATAAAGTTTAAAAAAAGAAAGAAAGAAAATATATGAAAAGCTGCCACACCTGTTGAATTCAGCTAAGAACTATTTATTATTAACAAAACGATGTTCGATATTTGAGAATTCTTATTCAGGTACGAGAGCCGGGAAATGCCACTTAGCAGTCTCCTAAAGTAACGTGGTTACTATCTTGCTACAGAAAATGAGAGTCCACACCACGCCTCATTCTTGTCACAGTGGATAAACAACAGCAAGGCTAGGGCTACTTGCCCCTTTAGTGTTGGCCCCCAAGATGGAACTCTAACAATTTGCCTGGAGCATTTCAGAGCCTGAAGCCCTCCCTCTCCCCAGGAACAGCGCCACCAACCTCCAGCCACGGGGGAAACGCAGCAGCAGAGCAATATCCGTGCGCTGATGTCTGGCAGAACAGTTTGCCTTTATTTATTTTTTTTTTAACAAAGTAAATGAACATCTAATTTCTGTAGTTAGCTCGTTGTTCCTCCGCCCCGTGCACGCTCTTCGCTGATGGGAAAATCGCCTTCTGGGTTTAGCGGTCTCTGCGTGGGGCCACGTGTTCCCTCGCCTGGAACCCAACGCGCGCTCCAGCCGCCCTCAGCTTGCCTTTCACAGGCTCAGCAGAATCAGGGAACATCCGGCTGATTCTCATATTGTTGCCCTTTGTCATGTGTTGAGGAAAAGGAAGGATGATTGGCAGCTCTGGTGACACCTAGCATAGTCCTTTTTGGACATTGCCTTTTGGAAATACAGCTGATGAGGAAGCGCGCGGAGGCGTGGCCCTGGCTGACTGGGCACAAGAACAGGTACGCTCCCCTCGTGCGCCTCTGTCTCGGGGAACCCGGGCACCTGTTCCACACTCCAGTGTCCCTTCCCCCGGCAGAGCCTGGGAAGTAGGGGTCAGCACCTCTGCTGAGCCGTCGGCTGTGGCCTGAGCACAGGGATCTCGATCCAGAAGGTCATCGGGCATCCACCTGGGTTTGGAGACTGGACCGTTGATTTGGGGTGTTTCCACAGCCATGGAAACGCCAGGAGTGAGTAGTCTGGCATTTTACATCTATCCTGCTCCCTATATTGTATTGTCCTCTCTTCTTAGGTGAAATGTAATGGCCTACTTTGCAGGGATTGAGATGTTTGAGCATCTGTGGACGGTCCTTGGTCCATAGCCTCATATTGCCTTCCTAGTTAGCACATGTGGATTCTTAGCATGCCCCCAAAGAAATACAGATATTCTAGTATGATGAAATTCTAGGGTGACCTGTGAGCTACAATTAAGTCACTGATTTCTCCTCAGCAGTTCTCATGCTTGAGTTCGAGCAAATAGTCAGGGCTCCAATGGGGCTCCAGAGGGTTCAGAGATTCAGAATAAATGTTTCCCTGGGGCCTCTGAGACAGCAGCAGCTGCCTGCTCAAGTCTTGGGAAGACCCCTCTCTCTAGGACATCGTAGCCCTACAGTCCATCCCACTCTGCAGAGATTGGAGACAAAGCACAATAAGTCTTGTATATGTTGAGCTGTGGGTTTGGACAAAAAGCTAGTTTAATCTTTACTTAACTTCAGGTGGCTTAAGAGGGAACTCAGGCCAGGCAGGTTCTCAATCACGTCTGGCCAGTTATATTATCAAGTTTCGAATCTGTATCTCCAAAATCTCTGAGGTGATGGCAGATTTTTCATCCTCTAATATAAATAAATCTATGCCAGAAATTTTGAGACTATGAATTTGTTTATTCTCAAATAGCCCATGTACCTGCTTTTGTAGTTGATGGGAAATGCCACTTTAATGTTTTCCTTTGATGCTGCCCTTTTAGGGCTTGATACATTCAGTTTTAGAAACTCAAGGCAGTTTTAGAAACTCAAGGCAGTTTTAGAAACTCAAGGCAGTAGCCTGTTGGAGCTTCTTGTCACCTGGGCTAAAGTCGGAGGCCACTTGCATGTTGGTGTGGCTTTGACGAGGGATCTCAGTAGCTGAGGCAGGGCCTTATCAAGCAATATCTTCAGTTATGAGATTTGAAGAGGGAGATATCAGAAAATAAATGACAGTCACCACTTACTCAGATTATAAAGTAAAAGATTTTTTTTTCATAAATCCATGTATCTTTAACCATGGAGCCAGCAGAGCTCTATATGAACTTAGTTTTGGCCTTTGATCTCTAAGATTCACTGGAAATATCACAGATGTTGGTATCTAATGTTGTTTTCCCAAGACAAGATGACCTTGGTCTGGAAGGTATTGTATGAATAGCTTCTGCTTTGTGGGATAATGAATAGCTTGCCATTGTTTAAAAGCAGTATGGTTAGCTGGGCAGTGAAGTAATACAACTGAAGTATAATTGTTAGCAATAAATCAGTTACCCACATTGATTTCCGTACTGAGATTAATAGAAGCCAAAACTAGAGTCAGGATTCTTTTAAATAGACAGAACTTTATTATCCATTAATCACTATTTGTTGGACATGGCGTGTGGAACAATGATGGGACCAAAAATAGCCATGGGGATGATTTGATCACAGCCTGGTGTCAGGAAAGGGACAAACTGGCTTATCTGTGTGGTCTTCTGGTATTTCTTTGGTTATGGCCTATGTGTTTGCGGCTTCAACATTCCACAAATGTGCCTTGCGGAGGTCTGATGGTTTGGGCATTTGCCTGAGTTACACTGACCTGCTGTGCTATGGCTTTTCCTTATCATCTTCTTCCTCCGTACACCTACCTCTGGTGTCACTGGTATTCATTTTTATCCACCAACAGCACCATGAAACCTTCATTTTTGTCTCCAGGGCACCCTAGTCTGGTGATGTTGGTGCTTTCCTTTTACCGAGTTATCATGAGTCCTGAACAGGCCCATAGTGAACACAAGCCATGGTGATGTGGTCTGCATTTCCCAAGGTGTGGTTACTAGAATTATGCCCCGTCCACTGTTTTATTATATAATCCTCTAATTACAGCTCTTTGGTTTTTCACAGCTTTGTCCAGTTCCATTGTTCCTAGTTTTTATATTTTCTCGAACATCATTCCTGCTTGTTTTTATACGTTTAAATAAGAAATTCCAGAAGTAAAGAACATCCGAGGCAGTTATGTGGAATAAGAACAAACCCCAGCAATCTTTGACTTGGAGACTGTGGGGAGGCTATGTCAACACACACACACTGTTTTAAAAATTTCTTCCCTTTCAAACTTTTAAAAATAAAAACTTTTTGTTTGTAAAATAAAATTCTACTTTTAAAAGACTGTATTGTACCCCATAAATGCGTTAATGTACACAGTTATGATTTAATTAAAAAATTTAAAAAAAAAAAAAGAAAGTGCCTGACCTGTTTGCACTAGCTTAGTGAGCAGGCCATTTTCTTGCTCTGTGACTGGCAGCCTGAAGCTGAAGCACTTGATTTGAGCTCTTTCTATGTTATTTGACTGGTCATGTTGGCATGAACTGTTTTACACTCTCCTCAACTAGACAGAACTCCTTGAGTACAGCAAATAGGAGCTTACTAAATGTTTGCTGAACTAGAAACTGAACTGTGAGATTAAAGACCAGGACCTTCTCCCAGTAGCATTAGAAACATTGATCACAAAGGGAGTGTGGGATTTGGGTTTGGGGAATCATCTCCACGATGGTATTTCAGGAGGAAAATGGTGCTTTCTTAGTCCTGTGGGATATCATGGTCCAGATCTTCTGTGGCTACTCCAGAAGCCACAGAATTACCCCAATCTGGCCAATCTGGAGTGTTCTGCATTCTCTAATTTATGAGCTCTGTCCTTCCCTCAAGGAGCCAGAGGAAGAGGTAGCCATGGAGAACAGACCCTCTATGGTGAAAGTGGACAGGGGTGAGAACCAGATCTCACCATGTCGAGCGAGAAGGTGCTTCCCCAAGGCTCTGGGCTATATTACCGGAGATATGAAGGAATTCTCCAACTGGTTTAAAGGTATTTATGCTTTCATCCCTTGGAGAAATGGGAGACGTGGCTTTGGGGGATGGTTTGCTAGTATTTCTATTTATACCTTTAGTACTATTCTCCAACCTTTTATCTGTCTCTTTACTCTCCATTTTTCTACTTTCTCCTTCCAACCTACAAACCTCTCCACTTTTTTTCTTTTTATGGAGATAGTGATCAGATCCAGGGCCTTGTTTATGTTGGAGGAAGGCGCCCATCCTGCAATTTTAGCACTTAAAACTAAAATTCTACTATTGGTAATTCATTCCTTTGGCTTAAGAGTCCATATCTCTGAACATGGTAAATAATGCATTAGATGATTTCGGGGGCTTAGATTCTCACAGGGGTAGTGTAGGTTAAGCATAAAGAAGTTATATGCTTCTAGAGAGCCGGGGGCTACTAAAGAGACAAAGAGTTAAGAGAGAAAAAAATAAAGGAATATCAAACATATGTTTCACCCAGGGGATTTTGATGACTTTGCTTGAAGTGGGCTCTGGGATTGAGCAGGAACATTATTTGCTTGACTGATTCCTTAGTTCTGTTTATTTCATGTCTTCCAGACAAGCCTGTGATCCTCCAGTTTGTCGACTGGATTCTTCGGGGCATATCCCAGGTGGTGTTTATCAATAACCCCATTAGTGGGATACTGATTGTGGTGGGACTCCTGGTCCAGAACCCCTGGTGGGCTCTCACTGGCTGTTTGGCAACAGTGGTCTCCACCCTAATGGCCATCTTGCTCGACCAGGACAGGTAGGCACATCTTTTCAAGACACAGGGGCACTGACTGTGGGCAGCAGTGATAAAACCACATCCTTCCCAGGGGAAACAGCCTTTAGTCCACAGAACTCTTTATATGTGCCTTTAGTTAGAGTTCAGGGAACCAATTATAGTCTTTTATTCTTGGCATCTGCATAAGTGGCTGGTCTGAATGATGCCAGATTCTTGTGGCATTACCTGGTAACTAGAACTGGCTGTAAGTAATTCCCAGAAAAAGTTCTAAAGGGATCTTCCTTAACAACTGATAAAATTATTTGCCATCAGCATTCTGTTAGGGCAGAATTGCATATGAGATCATGAAAAGTCTGAGTGGCTTATTAACCCTGTTATGTCTTGTTTCTACAATTAGTTTAGCAAACTCATTCTTCATAGACAGTGCAAAGGTCAGTTCAGCTACTAGAGAGATACCCATAAATTCCAAATGAGTGGATTCTGACTTTTGAATCTTCTGATAGATGTGCTAGGTTAAAAACAGCGTGTGCTTTATAAGTTGATCTGTCGTTGAAGAAGTGATAAGCTGACTTCCCCCAGGGAGAAAATGGCCCCTGACCAGCCAGTTGGTTCCTTCAGGGAGGAAGCCAGTCTTCCAGGTGTCCAGGATCAATGCCTTATCCTCAATAGATGGTCATTACACAACTAAGCTTTTGTAGCACTTACTATAAATTGTGTAAGGATGTCCTTGGGGACTGATCCAGTAGATGCTCTACTTTTCCACCAATTCCAAGGAGCCCGATTTGCTCTCTGTGGATGGTGATTCTGTATCTTAGATTAAACCCTATCCAATGGGGAATCAGCCTTCCCAGTTTGGGGATAGGGCCTGTGGCTGTGCCATATTGAATATTCCTTCATTATTTTGCTCCAGTGAAATTTTATCACTCCTATTTTCTTTGTCAGTTCTTATTTAGAAGACAAGTTATATTTACATATGTTCACTTAAAATCTCATTTACTTGGTCCAAAAGAACTGCATTAAAACAGCAATCCTCTGATTTATATGAATACCTGTCTTCCTATTGCTTTAATTGTAGCATTTCACAACTTACAGATCTATGCCATTCGTTTTCTCCTGATCAAACTCAAGCTTTAAATCCCCAAGCCAGTTATTGTAAGGATGAGTCTTTGCATAGCCTTCCACTATTATTATATGTAGTCTCAGTTTCTGGGTTACACTCATACAAGTTGCATCACCTCACACATGCCCTCAAGGATTATTTGAGAGAGGCAAAGAGCTTTTGAACAGGGAGTCCCACCATTAATGCTCTCATCCAGATGACTGTACGTGACATCATCTTGCCTGTTGCAATGGTGCCCCTTACCCAGCTAGAAGCAGGCCAAGCCCAGCTCTCATGCCATCCCATACCAGCCCCTGTACTGACTATACCACCTCCACCCTGGGCTCTGTCATCCAACCTCTCCCACTCACTTCACCATCTTCACTCCTCCATCTCCTGGCTGGCATCGCCCTTAAGTGCCAGGCCCTTGGGAATTGGATCCTGTGTCCCTCATCACGCCAGTTACTGCCAACTCTCAGAGCCCTGGGGGACCTGGCTTGTTAGCATTGGGGGTTATTCCATGAGAATTGTTCCATTTCTTACTCAGAGTTTCCCATTCCCAGTTATGAAATAGGGACCATTTTGGCCAGAGTAGAAACTTACCCACAGGGCAACCTTGAGAAGTGAGGTCAAATACTAAAGAAAAATGAACCTGAGAAAGAAGTAGTGCTAAACGTGCACGTGATTAAA